TGGTAAAGTACCTTTTTTTTTTCATTTACTTTTTATTTTATTTTATGTTTGCTTTTGTTAATTGGGTTGTTGGATCTGTTGATTGTTTGTTTTATGGGTAGGTGATTATCTTGCTGTCGAATTTGTTTGGCTTAATCTAATGTTTAATACTTGATTTGGGATTTATGTCATAATTAATTACTCTTGAATGGGCCTGAATAGCTGAAATGAGCAGAATAGAGCTGAAATAGATACATATGATTCTGACCGAGCCCGACCTGGAAATGATCCATTGATTGAATGGTTGCTGATTATTATTTACATGAGTGTATTAGTTTTACAGTTAAAGTTATTATGGATAGGGAAAGTTTAGCTTTTTCCTTTTTCTTTTTCCAATATTTCCAATCTTATGCAATCTCTAATTGGCGAATGAGGAAAAGAGTGTGCTTTTTCATGAGTCACCTCTCTGTTGTAGGTAGATCATTAGTCAGAAAGCTAGAGACTAGCTCTGCTAAGAGTGTATGTGTTTGATAGTTTTTGTTGGTCTGTCATCTAACTTATACTTCTTCCTGAATTTGACCTTGCGTTAGTTCTTTAATTTATGTTTCAATCAGTAAATAATGATGATTTTGTGCTAAAAAGACTAATACTTAAAAGGATGAATTAAAGTGATACATGCTTAGTGACAGAATACCTAATAGGGGTTTTCAGACATGTAACTCAGTTGCCTTTAGAAATGTACTGTAGGACAATTGTCCTTCCTCCCAATTCCATCATCCACTTTGTTTAAGCATACAAATGTTGAAAGGTGCAGCAGATTGGTCTGTGCTTCTTTATTAGACTGTGACATTGTCTTTCTTATGATGTTATAAACAAATTAGACTGTGACATTGTCATTGCAAATCTTAAGTCCTTTTTTTTTTTTAATAAAAGGTCAGTTACTGTACCTCTGTTTTTCTTTGCTTAACGAAGGTTGTTCCCCTCGTCTATTTGTGTGAGCATTTCATCTGCGAGAAAATGTCTGCATTGCTACATGGGTAATTTTAATGTTAGCAAAGTTTTTAATTATTTGAAAGTTACTCACTTGTTCATATGGATCCTTTTATCAGGTAAAGCTCAGCTAAGAGACCAATTATAGCAGCATTGACCATGTTTCGTCGCAAGAATCATTCTAATATTGAACAGGAGGGCGAGGAGAAGCAGCACAAGGTAACAATAGTCCTACTGTTTGGATGTGTATGTTAATAGCCTCTATTCTGACATTGTTTGTGTTACTGCTTTGAGTTAGATTATAGTTGGTTCTGTATATTTTTGGGCATTTCAAGGACTTGTTTTCTATTGTTGTCTTTATACAAATTCTGAACGGGTTCGTACTTTGGAAGAGTTGTTGATGTTCTGGTGGTGCATTGTCATTGCATATTGATACTTATCCTGGAAAAGTTTCATAAAGTGTGCTTGAATCCTCTTGAATACCGCATGGCAAGGATGCTGAATATACTTTAAATTTTTAGACATTGGTTTCTGTTGGCTTTTCCCAATCAAAATCCTATTATGAGCTCTTAGAATATTGGCTCTTCTTATAGGTTAAGGAGCTTAGGGCTTCCCTGGGGCCACTATCAGGGCGCAACTTGCAGTACTGCACTGATGCATGTTTAAGGAGGTATTTGGAAGCACGGAACTGGAATGTAGATAAATCGAGGAAGATGTTGGAGGAGACACTTAAATGGAGGTCATCTTTTAAACCTGAAGAAATCCGCTGGGTAAGGGAACAATATATTTGTGGTTATCTTTTATTGTTAAATAACATGTCCTTTTTATCAGAGCTAGCATGAAAAATCTAGGTTGGAAATCACATTAACTTTTTTTTAAAATCGGTGGTGTGGGCTCACACCTCGACTAATCCACCGGGTAACCTGTCCAGTCCACAAACATAGGTTACCAAAGTAATCCTGCTCATATAGGCGAGAGCAGATGGGCTCACATCAAGTGTTGTAGCTGGAAAATGAACATGGGATCTCCAGGTTGTTACTCCCATTCCCCAACATTGGGATTCGCCGAAATCACATTAATAACCATGACTAGCTTGAATGATGAAAAAAAAAACGTACGAGTCTCTGGTAGTGTTGTGTGAATATTTTAAAGGAGATGATGAAACTGCATTGACCACTTGACTTAATTTAATGTGAAATACTTAGATTAGTGTAATGGTTGTCTATTTGTTTCAATTGACGAACAATTCCTTTTTCTTTAACCATAAGTCTTGTTGGAAGTAGATGATTATCGATATATCCATTCAATGCTCTGCGAACTCCATATTTAGACCTCCGCAGATAAAATTTCCTTTAAGTATTATGTGAGTTTACAATTGCTTCTGTTGACCAAGAAATGGTGTTGCATTGTTAGCATGAAGTAGCAATAGAAGGTGAGACTGGGAAGGTGTATAAAGCAAATTTTCATGACCGCTACGGCAGGACAGTACTTATATTGCGGCCAGCAAAGCAGGTAATGTAAAAGCAAGTTGATGTGTTCAAAATCATTCTCTTTGTTATTTTTTAGTTTCTTCTCGATCTAGTGAAATTTCAAATATGTTTCCCATATATACAGAACACATCAGCACTGGACAACCAAATGAAGCATTTGGTATATCTGATAGAGAATGCCATTCTTAATCTGCCAGAAGGTCAAGAACAGATGGCCTGGTTAATTGACTTCACAGGATGGTCTATAACCAATAATGTTCCCATAAAATCTGCTCGCGAGACAATCAATATTTTGCAAAACCACTACCCTGAGAGACTCGCTGTAGCATTTCTTTATAACCCACCGCGACTTTTTGAAGCATTTTGGAAGGTATGATCTACATCCTCTTTTGTCTTTTGTCCCTGGTTGTTGATCAAACCTAGCTGATTGTAGTGTTAACTATTTCAAAGACAACAGAACTTATTAAAGGTGCCAAATTACCAATGTACACCATCATTTTAAGATCTTTTTCTTTGGACAAACATTTCCTACTGTACAACATTGGTTGGGTAAAACAAAAAGATTAGTACTTCCTTTCAGAAGTAGATGTGGCTGGTTAATGCCTTTGGCAAAACTGTCTCTTGAGTGGATCTGTAAACTTTCGAACCTTTGACAGGGTATATGTGCTATCTGGCGTAGTGATATCATGAATCGAATTTGCTTTCTTTACCATGTGCTTGAAATTGTCCCCCTCTCATACTATTTATTCAATTTAGTTGCAATTCATAATTTACAGCTCCTTTTTCCAACCTGTTGAGCTCATTTATATTGTTCAAGCATCAGTCACCCCCTTATGTTTATCCTTTCCATTGATTAACGCCATTTTCTTATTTTCCAGATTGTCAAATACTTTATGGATCCCAAAACATTTCAGAAGGTCAAATTTGTCTATCCAAAGAACAAGGATAGCGTGGAACTGATGAAGTCATTCTTCGATGTGGATAATCTTCCTACTGAGTTTGGAGGATCAGCGACTTTGAATTATGATCACGAGGAGTTTTCAAGGCAAATGGCTCAAGATGATGTGAAAGCTGCCAAGTTTTGGGGTTTCGACAAACACCACTCTGGTGCTAATGGTTACTCTGCGGCAGAGGTTGCTCCAGAGCCTGAATCCATTGCCTCTCCAGCCATAGCTTAGATGCTTGATCCACTGACCAGTCCAGTCTTATATTGCCTAACTGAGTTTAAATAAATAATGAGGAATGTAAGATCTTGTCCCCCCACCCCACCCACCCCCAGCATATTATCAGAGACTAGAACACTTCCTGAGGTTATTTTCTAGATTTAACTCATGGCAGCTGAAAACCTTGGTACCTTATTTATTGGCTGTATTACGCTCTATTTAGAGTCAATGAGCTGCAAGCTTTAAGGCTTCATCTTCCCCTCTTTCACCTTTTACTTGATCTTTCCTATCTTGCTTTTCCATTTTCATTTAATATCAACAGCATCGATAGAGCCGGTACTGTCTACCGTAAAATACTACAATCAGTCAATTACTCCCTTTGTTCCATTTAGTTGTCTGCTGAAGATGAAGAGGAAGTTTTAGCAGAATGAGAATCTGGAATCTCAGGTTTGTCTTCTTATGATGCAGGCAGTTGTTGCTAAAACTTAGTTCATTTTCTTTTTTTTGGCGATTATATGCTCCTTCTATTTTTCCTCCCTTGAGCTGAAGGTCTATCTGAAACAGCCTCTCTAAACTTAGTTCATTTTTTTTTTTTGGCGACTATATGCTCCTTTTGCTTTTTCCCCCTTGAGCTGAAGGTCTATCTGAAACAGCCTCTCTACCTTCACAGGGTAGGGGTAAGGTTTGTTGTTGTTCCCATTAAGTTGTCGGGATAGATTTTTACATGTCCTTCGAGAAAATATTAAATTTGATTAAACCACACTTGCTAATTCTTTAATCTTTGACCACATTAATCTATTTTCTATTAGCAAGTTAATTACTTATTTACCGAGAAAATAATTAGTTCTTTCTTAATTTTCTAAAATGGCAATCACGTTTGGGAACAATTAGTTTTAGCAAACATGACAACAAAAAAACTGATTGAAAATTTGAAATCAACACTTGTTTGTTTTGTCTTATATAAGTTTATTTCTTACCTTGTAGCACAATCGGAAAAATGGAACTGTTGTCCCGAGCTCAATCTCCCATCTATAATAATGTATTTTTTATTTGATTTAAGTCGGGCAGAGATTTTTAATACACTTTAACAGCAGCTGTTTACATATTTAATTTTTTTTTGCTGTTTTTTCCAGAGGATTAAATATGTTGGAACAAATTGTAGAATGCTTTTTCATCACTTAAAAAAAAAAAAACGGGGGGGGGGGGGGGGGTGGCACCCCAAGGGTGTGTAGGCAGCCTGCCCAGATTCAACGGCTCAAACACGGCAAGTGGTTGATTCCATGACTCGAACACGTGACTTATAGGTCACACATAGGCAATTTGACCATTGCTCCAAGGCTCCTCTCGCTTTTTCATCAATTAATAGGCACTAATTCCAGGACACAAGTATCTCAAATACAAAACCTTTTCAAAAACTGAACATTTACACAAAAACAAAACAAGCTTAAACATGATGTAACATCAGCTAAACATGTGCATACAGCTTTAGCAACCTGTTGCACTCCTCAGCTACAAAACTCAAAAGGCAGCAAACTGGAGAGGTGAAAAAGAGACTAGGGGAAGGGAAGCAGAAAACATGCTAAGCTTGTTTAACAAGTAGAATATACTCTTAAAACAAGTATCTTTCTGTTGTTAGCCTTTGGATTATGCTATATATAATTATATAAGGCGCCTTCTTAAGTTTCGAGTAGTACGGACTAACAAACCAACTCCTACTCCAACTCCTACACAAATGCCAAGGCCAATTCCAACACCAACTCGGACTCCAGCATTGAACCAGGATAGTTCCCCGTCTTCGCCATCCATAAGTTCTGTTTGTCTCCAGTACATGTTGTTGTAGTCTTCTTCGCTTTCTGGTTTATAACTTCTGTACTCTGTTACCTGTTAACACAAAATGAACTTAACAAGCCGTGCAGTTTCCATCATCAAGTAATCACGCGGGATTCATCTAATCGCATCTATGAAACTTAATTTGTGGTTCAAAGCAAATGCCAAGAATTGCTAAATCCAACCGCTGCCTCGAGAATATTTTTCCAATAGAAATGACACAGGAAACTTAATAATCTGAAACTGAAGATGAAATGCAACCTATTTTTGTTAACTTCAAAATTAAAGCAGCACATGGGCAATACTTACACATGAGCTGAATTTTTATTTTATTTTTTATATTTGGGTTTACTTTTAAGAAAGGTCAACTTGAGTTCAGAACAACTTTGATCTCTAACAAGAGAATACGCTCCACGTAATGGATCACCAAATATCCAAAAGAAACAAATTTCATAAAGGTTGTCATATGGAGTGGGAAACATTGTACGAAAACCTTGATGGTAGAATTCAATCTCACCACATCTAACAGATGGAACGACAACATCAGCAAGGAGCCAACTGATTTGTATCGGAAGTAGAATTCATATGCTATAGCACTTCTAAAGTTCATCATGAAAGATGGAAGAAATTCCAACGAATTATCTTGATGAGAACGAATACACACGGGGATAATAGATTGACGACTTTAGATTTTTGCAGCTACACTACAATATTATCCAACTGAAAGACAATTGATAAAGGGTGTCTTCATTTGTTGTTTTTCTTCGATCTGAATTCTTGTTTCAGGATGTCTACACGTTCAGATCACCAATAAAGAATCCATCTAAGTCACGGAGATTATATAAGGGAAGAATCTATTCTAATTAGCTCAAAATAGACACCAGAATGGTACTTAAAAGTAATTTCTAGAAGGATAGAGGCAACTATTTTATCAGTATAAAATCTAGAAGGATAGGGACAATGCAACAGGAAAGAATGAGAATTGAACATTAAACAATTACTTAGAAATATGAGTCAGCCCATACCCTCTGACATGCTTAGGATAAGATTCTGTTTCCAGTGCCAGGTACTTCTCCTAAAAGATACTAGCCTTTTACAGATTGTGACAAATAAACATGTTTCAAGATATGAAACATTATGAAGCTAGATGCAATGGTAGGGTAACCATAAGGAGTTGTCAGGGTCATGGTTATCACATTAGTCCCCACTCCGTCAATAAACTATAGCATGAATTTTTAGCACATAAATTGAAATATCATTAGAGTATTTATATTTGGTCAAAGAAATTTAAGGAGGGCAGAAACACATCTGAAGGTAAATGCAGGCTGAGCCAGGATTTGAAGCTTATTGGTTCATGAGTCTAGTTCTTTTAAGTTATTGGATTCTAAATTAACAATTTATACATATTAAATGAAGTTCTAGAGACAAATTCAGAGTTTGGACCAAAGTTACTATGTTCGGCCGGACCGGCATCTCGGTCTCTAGCTCCGCCCCTGGGTACATGTGCAATCAATAATAACAATTCTGAGGAAAGAACCGTCCAATATAGCTAGTGAAGGCATCACTCTTGGCGGATCACCAACAGGGAAAAGAGATGTAAACAATTAAGGGCTCAAACGCACAAGAATCTTTGAAAGACAATCCGGACAAGTGAAATTTTGTATAATGTACCTTGTTATCATTTGAAAGAGAAAAACCGTAGAATTGCTCAAGTCATTATAGCTGGTGTTTTGTAAACCATTTGGAAACTTTCAAAGATAACATGCCCCAATATTACGTTTTAATAGCCTCTTTTCCCTCAACTTTTCCAGCTTCTTTTGACCATGAAAGTAACCTCAAATTCAGTTTGAATCAAAGAGGAGGAGATAGAAGTGGAAGAAGAATCACAAAGCAATTTTAAGTCAAAATAAATGTAAGAAAGACACCAAATACACTGAAGGCGATGGTGTTGATCAACTCACTCCACCTGTTGGTTAACTATATAAAGAGTTTTGGCTGTTTGCATATGCCTTATCACCATTTTTGCATGGTTAACATTAAAGTTAAAATGAACCCCATTTTAAACTCAAGAACTTCAAATATAACCCAATGATAAACATAAAAAACAAGGTTTGAGGTATAAACAATACCTGCAGATCCTGTCCAGGTGAGACTTCTTTCAGCTGTTCAGCTGTTTCATGCTCCGGAATGGAGTCTAACATACCTTTTCGATGGTGCTTCTTCCTGTGAATTAGCTGCAAAGTCTTAGTTAAGATGACAGGTGTACCAGAAAAGCAACCGGCAACATATACTTCAATTGTCGGCGAGAATGATTCAGAACCGACAATGTGTTTTCCCTTGAGAAAGCCAGTGCCAACGCTCATAACTGATTCACAATTCATGCTCCATCTCCTAACAGTCTCTTTAGACTCCCTAATAAAACCATTGACGTCGGCCATTTCCAAAACCCCAGAGAGAACAAGATCATCTTTATGGAAAACCTCAAAGTTCACATTCCCTGTCAATCTAATGCTATCTGTGCTCACAAATGTCGCTTCTTCAGCTTTCTTATCAACACGGTCCCTTCGTAGAAGGCAAGAAACTCCTTCTGAATACATGGAACATCTTTTACCATTTACTTCAAGTAGTGTATCAGGACTTAGAGGGATATGGTTAAGAGTAAGACTTTCTGGGGTTGAATCATCGACCACAAAATTGCTGATTCTGATGTAGAAAACTCTAATATCAAACCAAGATAACGATAGTTTACCACCAGATTGGTAAGAAGGGTGCCTTATAATTTGGAGACCAGCATCAGCTGGTTTTCCATTGCTTAGCAATTCACGCGATTTCTCCATATTTCATGAGTTTATCCCTCACTATATATAATCCTTCACCATTGTCTGATACAAGAACATAACAGAACCATAAACCCGGCACCCCCTTAGGCCAAGGAACGCCGTTTCAATTCAAATCCCTACTCAACACGGTACCTCAGGACTATCTAAATCTGGCTGCCAACAGAAAGTCATTTATTTCTAATCAGAATCAAATAATATAATTTGTACAGAAAATATAACAGGAATCATAACCGAAAGCATAAAAGGACATGAAGGTTTGCTAGGTACCAAAAGAAACCTGAATTTCAGGAACAGAATACCTTGATATAAGGAAGAGAAAAGACAGAATCAATAATTAAAAGGCTATAAAAAGAAAACTAAACTACCTTACAAAAGGGTTGATCTGGGGAAAAAAAAAGACTACCCAACAAAAAGGATTTAAAGGTAATTTATGCTAAGAAGGCTAGAAAAACCAAAGATGGAGGAGATCACTACACAAGAAACATAAAAAAGATTCACAAAAATGGAATCTTTATATGACTTTGTACACCCACACAAATTGGCTTTATCAAAAATTACATCAAAACAACATTGTCCACAAATTTATCATTAATCTTGTATTTTTGAAAAAAGAGAGTAGAAGAAATACAAAATAATCAAAATCAAACACCACCCCACCTTTAGCTCCAATGCTTAGAAGTCTAATTGGTGATAAAAAATTAAATCTTTTTCCTATCTTTCAGCTCTTCACTCTCAAAAACAAGCAGCAGATGGGAATTAAAGAACCACTTTTTGGCTTCTCAAAGATTGATAAAAATATGCTAAGAAAAGCAGGCTATCAAGAATAAATATAAATTACAGAAGCTGCCAAATAACACACCCAATTCACTTCCATACCCAAGAAATAAAATAATAGAAGAAAAAAAAAGACTAATACAGACAAAAGCTGAAATCTTTTTCACCATATAAAAAACTTACAAAGGGAAATATTGAATCCACAAACTCAGTTTCCAAGCTGCAAATTACCTATCAAATCACTTTCAAAACACCAATAAGAGTTTTTGATTGCCTCCTCCAAATCTTGTGGCTTATAATTAAGCACACTGATGCTACTTTATGGACTATTCCTATCAATCAAAATCAGCTTTTTCAGTTGTCTTTCTTTTTCTGTGTGTGTGTGTGTATGTATATATAGTGTATATGTGTGTGTATATATTATGTATATAGACTTAAAACTATATTAATTCTGTAAAAAGATCCAATCTTTCTGTTTTGGATCTTTGAGTATTCTAAAGAATATATATAGCCTTTGATATTAAGGTTGGTGCATAATATATACAAATCTGAAATAAAAGGAAGAAAAAAGAAAAAGGAGCAGAAATTCATTAGCAAGAAAAAATGTTGATGGTGATTGGTT